AACAATTTTTCTCTATTCTTTATTTATTTCTACCATTATTCTCTTTTCTTTATATTTATGCACCCCGTTATAATTTATCTTTTTGATTAGTGTTGCCTGTTCAAGTTTCTCTTTTCTTTATTTTGTTTGCCTGTTTTTATCTATTCTTTATTTTCTTTGCGTGTTTTCCTCTATTCTTTATCTTCTTTGCCTGTTTTTCTCTATTCTTTTTTTTTTGTTCGTCAGTTTTTCTCTATCTTTTTTTCATTTATTTTGCACTTTTTGCCAATTATTCTCTATTCTGTAAATTAAACCCATACCCACTGATATAGGAAGATTTTTTTACATAACTTAATATGAATTTTTTTGGGTGTCGTTGCTTTGACATTTATAAATATATGCCCCGCATCTCATCTCATTTACGTTTCTGGTTATTCTTAAAAAGAACAATGATAAAATCAACCTTGTTTAATACTTTAAAGTGATTTTAAATGTATAAATATATTAAATAGCTAGACCAACAATTGTTCAAACAAAATTGACCCTTAGTGTTTGATATAGTGACTACGTAAAATTCATTGTAAAAGCTCTTTGTTATTATTGCAAAAGCTTTGGGTCAAATTTGTAAAAATTCAAGTAACCTACTTTTCGCTGAGAGATTAAATATGTCATTATTTTGATAAAATCGAACAAGACGAAGAAAAATCGATTTCAATCAGATATATAAAACGTGAGCCGTTACGGTTGTATAATTTCAAAAGTTATGACGGTAATCCGCTTTACAATTATTTGATTGTTATAATTATACTTTCTCCGTACACCTTCCAGGGGGTCTCATTGGGGGTTCTGATCCTGGATCCCCCTTACTGTTTTGTCAGATTCCCGTATCCCGCTTACATTATGTCCCGCTAGACTTCATTTCCCGTTTTCACGGCACAATAATTTGACTTTCACGTGTCACGCTTACAAGCAATCGGCAATCCCGGGTCATGCTTAGATCCCAATGAGACCCACCTTACACGAGCAAATTTGATTAGGCCAAAGACTATAGGGTGGATTTTGTGCTGGCTCTTCAAGATGACATTTTTATCCACCTAGTTTTCGACATCTTACAATGTTTATACACTTACAACCCAACAAATATCGCTCTGCTGTAAATTTTCTCCAACAGCAAATGATTCTTGAACTTTGATGCCGACAATACTGCGGCGGTGGAGAAAGAAAAGTTTTCCACGGAACGCTATATCAAGGTTTAAGTCTTAGACTTATTTTTGCAGGGACGGATCAGGGATTTTTTGAAGGGAACACAATTTTTTGGACCATTTTATGCTTTTATTTGTTTCTACAAGTTTCAATTATATATTAAGTTTTTTGCATGCATATACCATAAAGACAGCAGAGTTTAAAAAGAACAAGAGGTTCCAAAGATCCTGAATAGCTTACCGGGTAAAAATATGACATTTTGGTAATTTGTTTTTTTCAATTATTGCAATCAGTTTAATATGTTTGCTCTTCTATAGATCTTATTTAGCGGCTTTTTTGTAGGTCTCTTATGATGATATTGTGACCGTTTACAGTTTATAATGGTCTGTAACAGTTTTTGAGATAAAAAAAAAAGTCATTGAGGCAACAATTCTAATACATGTAACTATGTTGATTATTTGACCAAGTTGATTTACATGCAGATCTTGTTTTGCTGATTGTTTTGCTTTTTAAAGATTCAATTTTACTCCCAATATTATTTGACAAAAATGTAAAAGATGGATAAAAGTCATCGTTCAGGGGAAATAACTTCTACATGGATTCGACAGTTAGTTTCAGCCTTTGATTGATTTGTAGATCTTATTGTGGTGAACAGTTTTTCTGTTTTACTGTTTCACACTAGCTATTGTCATAGTTTGTGCAAACACATACATTGAAAAGGAGTCGGTTGATAACTTCGGTAATGTTGACATATTTTATTGTCTTTGCTTTCAATAGTTTCTCTCTAACTATAATGATATCTGAAAAAAAAAATAAAATGAATAAAAAATCATCTTTCAATGGCAATAATTCCTGTAAGCGGGATAATGACAATTTCAGTTAAAAGTTTAAAGTTCAAAATTTCTCATAATTGGATTAATATCTCTATGTGTGTACTTTGATTGAGCTATCGTACTTGAAATAAGAGTTTAAATAGTTATAATAAAGTCTTTATGTATATCATAAATAATAATCGGTAGATACATATAGACATATGTGTTGCAGAACGGGTCAAGTCTATGAACTGTGTAAAGTATATAATTGTAAAACCTTCATCATTCCTCTGAAAATTAAGAAAACAACCCCAAAGAAGGCAAATATTGTAAATAAGGAAACAATTTTATTGAAGATAATAATTGTAAATTAGGAAAATACTTCATTGAAGCTAAATATTACTTTCAAATTTCACTAGATTATGCATGGCTCTACGAGTGCGTTCTCACAAGTCCTCAAGTCATCTTCTGTAATGTATGATCTACTTTTACTTAATAGATATTACAGCATTTCCTTGGTTACACATCAGATTCCGTAAGTACCAAGCTGTTTTAAGCTATGACAAATCGGGTCAAATTAATGGAAAAATACCAGAAATATATCATTTTGTGAATTTGTAATGTATACTGGTTGTTTGTCGATAATACACCAATAATATTGAATAAATGTGGTATTTTAATGCCAATACTTGTTACATTTCGCCGTTTGAGAATCTTTATGCATTTTGGGTAATATTTTTAAGCGTGTACATAAAAATTAACTGTTGTGATTGGCTGATAAAATCTGAAAAAGCCGAAATTCGGTCTGACAATGACGTAAAATATTTCCATTTTGAGGTTTGAAAAAATAATTCCTATGATTCTTCACATTTGATTTATATGAGATAACAAGCACTCAGCAACCATTCCTTTTATTTATGCAGGTAATACACGTGAGTTCTTAAGATAAATGAACCGAAAAAATGCTAAAAACTCCCATCTATTATGCATTTCTGTCGGTTTGCAAGACTTGTGAAATGAATGTTCACCAATTATACTGCATTTGAAAATGCCATCGATTATTCATTATCTAATTGAATATCAACTTGTTTTGAAAAAAAGTGTAAGTTAGTTTTGTCAATCATTTTAACTGGAAGATTGATCCACTTTGTATTGACTGTGTTTGTTAGACAGTTGTTTACTGAGATTGATAACAATTTTAAAACAACCGTCAATCAATTAGGGATGTCAAACACTTTTCAATCATTACAGTTACAATGAGCGGAGAATTGTCAGTGGTATTTTTATATGCATTGTAAAATGCCAAATTTGTTTTTACTGATATGTAGATGATATAGTTCTGGAACAGGATACAATAAAGCGAGAATATCAAGTGATAACTGTGAGGTACGCCAATTTGCAACAAGAAATAAATTGTCTTACAAAACTTTAAAAAAGATAATGTACATTTAAATGCCTTGCCATTTCCATGGTATTTTTTCCATTATTAATAAATTATTTTTTTAGAATACATGCACTACACGTGCATATCGTAAGGAAACAAACAATTGAACACATTTTTTTAGAAGTTTTATTTATCAATGGCTAAAGGAGCATTAATAAAGAATATAGAAAAAAATAAAATATCAAAACTGAATAAATTATGTCAAATTGAAGTTTTTGTTGTCCCTCTGCAAAGGCATATAGGAAATGCAAACTTGCTGAATATAAGAACCAACACTGAGCTTAAAATTAGCATATAGATTTCCAACATATTTAAATCTGCCAAACAAGACCTTACTCTTGGCAGTCTGTACTTTCACTAATATGTTTAATAGTGTACTTTAAAAGTGAGGCGAAAGATACGAAAAGGAATATTTATCAACAAGGTCTTGGTATCTTCTGATCAACATTTTTAGAAAAAGGACGAGACGTTAACACTGTGCAGGACAAATTTGCCATTCCAGAATTGGCAAATCTGACTTTGTCGGTTTACAAGATATCAAAAAAAAATTTTGCCCAGCAATAGATATTTAAAAAATTTTAAAAATCCCATATGTCCCAACTTGTCACTGTTGTCACTGTTGTCACTGCAGCTGATTAAAAGTACATTTTCCATGGAAATTTGAGAATTCCCATAGGAATATTATAATTTCCCATGGGAACATTTAAAGTTCCCAAGGGAAAAATGACTGTTCCAATGGGAAGTTTAGAGTTCCCATAGGAAATTTAAAGTTCCCATGGGAAAAGATGAATATAAAAAGTTCCCATGGGAATTAACTTTTCCCATGGGAACCATTTTTCTTCTCATGGGAACCATTTTTCTTCCCATGGGAACAATTTTTCTTCCGTTGGGAACAATTTTTCTTCCCATAGGAACAATTTTTCTTCCCATGGGAACATTTATTCTTCCCATGGGAACAATTTGTTTCTTCCTATGGGAACAATTTGTTTCTTCCCATGGGAACATATAATATTACAATAGGAACATTAATTTTCATTTGAATTTTCTTTCCAGAAAAATTACAATTTGTTGCAAATACTGGATTTAGGTTAAATTATTAAAATCAGCAGATTCTCTGCAAGAACTCAGTATGGTTTTGTATAGAATGGACTCATTCTGAACATGCATGAAATATTTGCGACTAAACAACACTCACTCGAGTTCTATTGAGAGTTGCACCTTCTAGAAACTCTTATTATCCAGTAAAATATGAAGCAATGAGAAGTAAGTTTAAAAAATAAGTTGTGTGTCTGTGTGTGTTTTGTGATTGACAAACATTTCCTGTGTAATATTTATTTTGTTTGCACCTTTACAGTCTTTTATTCCAATATAAATCACTTGTTCATTTTATGGATCTATTTCTTTAAATTAGAGATTGCAGAGGGCTTGATAATTGCATAAAGAAAAATGTTAATACTGAGGAACAATGATATCTTTCTGTCACCCAATATGAGAAACAGCTCCGACAATATTTTTCTACTTTTTCAACTTTCTGTTGATAAAAAAAGAAATTCAAAACCAAATACTTCTACGTAGCAAAATTTATTAGATACAATGTAATTCATTTGTTATACAATTATATAGTTACACATTAGTTTTCAAAATTATATTGTCCATCTCTCTAACTAATAATAGAAATAGTCAAATGTCTTCAAAAACTTTCATTTCTACTTGGATTTTATAACATCTTGATGTCTCGTCTACTGACAACTTTCTTCCGCCCATCAGAATACTTTACATAATAACCTGAAAAGGAGAACACTTCAAATAATATATGTAATAATTTAAGGAATTAAGTTAAAGAAAACAGAGTTACTGTTTAAACTAAAATATTGATAAATTCTCTAATATTCAATAATATTGTTTTAAATTTATTTATAATGTTTAATGGCAGATCTTGGGAGAAATTTTGTTTTCATTCATTTCGTAAAGAGATTTAGGATGATTTGAAGCTTTGCGTATCATACTGAATATTTTATTTAGTTGAAAAAGCTACGATGGATTATTATGTCTAATTTTCATATTTTGTTGTCTCATTGATGCATAAACCACCTATGCTTTTATTCACTTAATGCATATCAGCCATTTAAATGACATAAGTTCAACTTTTGCATCAATTAAATTTTAAATTATCTTTGTGTTTGATTGATGTTTTGTTTTTGTCAATGAAAACTTACCATTTTTTCTCTTGCTGATGATGACAGCATTGTAAAAACTGCCATCTGACCATCTTGTAGACATTTTTGTGCCAACTGCAAGTTCATCCTATAAAAAAAACCCAAGGCATTCAATTTCAAGACATTTTCAATTGTTTTTGACCATACTCAGAGGATAAAATTAACTTCTTATCAGACTGGCTTAAAAAGCATGATAAAACAGAATAAATGACTAGATTCACTCTTTTAAAATATTTAAAAAACAAAAAAGATGAAATGGTGTATCTGGTAGTTCAAAACCCATAGATTTCTGCCTTTCACAATTATAAAACAATTACAAAGTCATCAAATATGATATATTAATATTATTGTTAATTAACATACAAGTACAACAATATCCTATGCTTGTTTGAAAACAGTATTGTCATATGTAAGTGATAATGGTGCATTTTCAATCATAAATATTGTAAATTGATAAAGCAACAACTATAAGTCTAATCATGTTAAATTTCATACTTGTAACTGTTGAATTAAAAAACAATTACCTCATCCTTGTTACTGTCTGTATCATCATCTTCATTGGAAGCATTGGTCTGCTCTACCTGTTGAAATATAAATAAAAAACATAAGTTCTCAACATAATAAAATACATATTTGATATCGATAATAGATAAGACATGTACCAAATGGGTTTAGTTTTGCAATTCTTTTTTTTTGTATATATATTTGATATCGACAATTAATGTCTCTTCAGTGATGTTACTAATCTAAACGTTAATTGGAAGACCATATATTTTACCTCAATTTAGGATAGACTCTTGAATTTTGAATCGTCGAAATAGGATGAATGGATCATATAAACCCGAAAGGCAAATATAATACACCCAAACGAAAAAATATATACACAAGTTTAAATTAAAAACAACGTTCAAACCTATTATATATATGATCAATAAATATAATGGCTGTTCTTTTATGTTGATTTGATGTTAATAATGAGTTTAAAAGATATCTTTGTAAGATATTTTTGACAATTTTCTTTTTTTGGTAAACCTCTAATTCAATTAAGACCTTTAAATTTCATGGTAGCATGCTGATTTGTAAAATATTTTGAAGGTATTCTAAAGTGGTAAGCAAAAAAAAGTCACAAAACAAAAGGTCACAATTAATTTGTTTATAAGAAAGTTCTTGAAATAATTTCTTTAAGTTACATATATTGATTTTACAGTTTAGAAGATTGTCCATATAAGTCTATTTCAATTTACATTAATTTATTTTATTTCTCTTACAAGGATGCATTAAACTGTTACGCAAATTGTTTTTTCTTAAAAAAATGTTTTAAAAAATATAAGAGACTAACTAAAAAAAGACAATGTTTACCTCGCTCAATAAAGTTTTGAGTCTGTCATTTTCAGCTTTTAAGATCCCATTTTCTGCTTTCAGTGAGATGATTTCCTCCCCTTGCTGCTGCATTCTTAACAACATTGCTGTTATCTGCTTAATTGTTTAAGGTATCAATCTACTAGTTCATGGCTACTTTGCTTACTATATAAATTCACCAATTTAAGGCATTCAATGATATTTTGTCTTGGGTGTTTGTAGTAAAAGTTTAATGTTTCAAATATATTTGTACAAGTAGGAAGTTAAGCTTGCTATAAAACCTTGTTTAACCCTCATTTTTCTGTAGAAAATGTGCCTACAAATTCTTGAATATATATGGAAGTTGTATTTTTTCATTCGTTAGGTTGGTTGATATATTCCAGCGTTCCATTATGTCAAGTTTTATAACTTTTCTTTCTTAGAAGTTAGAATTCTGTATATTTATTAGTTTTTTTATTGTAGTTTGTGTAGAAAATTTTACCATACATCTAATAACATTTATAAGCCCACTGGTTCCCATGAGCTAGAAAGTACAAAAGCAGGTACTCCCAATTTGAGCTACAGGCAATATATGCCCTTTTATTTCAATTTCACACAACTTTTTATCATACCAAAAAAATAAGCTAGGATTAACAGTGATCACAGGTCCTTAAACTTTCATTTAATTCCAAAATTACCCCAAAACTTTTAAGAAAGACAAAAGTAAAAAAAACTAATATAAATGTTCTCCTCTATCAACTTTTTTTTAGAAGTTTTTTCTTAGAAATTAGAAAAATAATAATGTTTTTTTCTTTTTATTTGCGTTTAATATTTCTGTTTAGATGTAACTATACAATTAAAAGTAAACATACTCTAGTCTGTCTGCTCTCCTCTGTATCATTTTGCAGGCAATTTGTATTCTGTCAAATAAATAAATGTTTTAATATGCAGAAAAAGCAAGTAACTAATATTTTGATATTAATTGTGTACACTTATATAGGTGAAGATTTGAAAATAAAATCTGCAAGAGTTACGACAATCAATAACTAAATTGCTGGAAAGAAGGAAAATAACTTTAATATACACGTTTTAAATACAGTCAATTGTAAGGAGTATAATTGTTCCCCTCCAACCAATTAATACAATGATTCATAAACAAAACTCATTGTTGAAGGCCGTACGGTGACCTATAGTTGTTAATTCCTGTGTCAATTGGTCTCTTGTGGAGAGTTGTCTCATTGGCAATCATACCACATCTTCTTTTTTATAACATCAGCAGAGTCTTGATAATGACTTATGGCTGATCAATTACATCAGATGTTTACTTTTGCTATTTATTTTGACTTTCTTTTCAGCTTTATTTTATTGTCTAGTGGCCCTCAAAGATGTGTACCAACATCTCTGTTTACTTTTGTTTTTTATAAAAAAAAACTAAGTCAAATAATTATGTTTGTAAAACAAGACAGTTATCATAGTGTTAAACAGGTTTGAACTGTCCAGGGATCAAAACTATGACCTCTATTTGCACGCTATCAAGAGACGACAGAACAAGAACACGGAACAAGACACCACGTAAAGGCTTTGTGGTTATTTATTAAAAGAAACTTCAATCAGGTACTTATATAGGAAATGAGCAAGGCTAGTGGACAACTGTTACAAAATTTTCAGTGTGTCCACTATTTGAAATCTATTTATCTTTACCTTTAAACTCTTGCCTTTCTCCCTGTATTCTTTCATTGTAGTTGTGCCGTTCACCAACTGCTGTAGAGCAAAGCGCACAGGTCGCTCTTCTTTGAAGCCAACAAATGACTGGAACAGGCCTCCTGTCAGTTGAGTTGTCTTATACGAGGACCTCACCATCCCTTGGGTCATACTATCTTCTAGCTCGCTAACAATCTCAAAACACGACTGTGGCAGTGTGGCTACGTACAATCTCTCTCTGAAGGTCCCTCCAAACGTACCTTCCTATAAAAATATAAAGATAATTTTAAATTTGTTGGTCAATCTTAACCTTTTTTTATTGATTAAAATGATTACTTACTTTCTATAATATATATCATTTGAATCATTCATTTTTTTAACCCAAAAATAACTAAATACGTGTTGTTGTTTTCAAATTGACAAGTAAAAAAACCTGGTAGATTTCTGAAAACATCAGTTTTAATAAGTATTCATAGGTATTGCATTGCATGGATCAGATAATTATTATTTATTGATGCATGTATAAAGTGGAAAAATAGTAAAAAAGGTTTATACAGAGATATGAACAACAACTACAAACGAGGCCCGTTTCCTATAGAAAGATTCTTTTTCCCTATTTTTTATGTCCGAGAACCAAAATGCCTGTAAAGTGTATTGATATATTTTAAATTGTACTACAAGGTTCCATACTACAAAGGGAAGACTGGGATTTGGGGGGGGGGGGGGTGATTTTTTTATGCGGTTTCATATTATTTTTTTTTTTCAAAATTTTTCAAATTTTAAATATTTTCAAAAGTTTCAAGAAAAAATCTTCAAATGCACAGTATTGTGAAATAGATTTTTAAGATCTTTGACCACATTTATTTTGTGTCAGAAACCTTTATTATGTCAAAAATTAATCACAATCTGAATTCAGACAATTTCAAGCTTGAATATAGTGTTGAAATTTGACCAAACTGTTCAGGGTTTGACCTCTGCGGTCATATCAAGCTGTGCTCAGCAAAGCCTTTTATTTTATTATGTTTTATGTTCTTTGCCTTTTTATTTTAATGTTGGATAATTGTATATAGCTATTAATTTCACCAAATATCAATCTGTGTTATGACATACATGTGAAAATATTGCATCTAGTTAAGAGGTGTATGAAATGTTTCCTAAAATATCTTCTTTCCTATAAACATGACTTATTTAGCCAAGGAAGTGAGAAAAAAGTGTGTAAGTCTCCAGACTAGATTTGAATATTCATTAACTATATAAGAAATATTTAAATATCTTTTCATAAGACAACTGATTATCATTTTTTTGTTGTGAACGGTACTATCTTAACCTTGTTGAAAACAACAACAATATTTTCTAACAAAGCTTTTATGTTTATTTAGTTGATAAAGGATAGATATTCAGTAAAATACTGTTATTTGTAACTGGTTTTTTTTAGATCATAACATTTCATTCATATTATTTTGCTTAAGAAATAAATAATTTTATATTATTTTATGTATAATTCATGCTTCTGTAGAACAGTTTTTTGTTAGTTTATTTAGTAACGTTTGTTAGGTATACTAGGATAGATTAAACTAGGGCTGTTGTATGAACTTACTAAAAACCAAAAGAAAATGAAAGAATTTAAAGTTTTCTTTATCACTTAAATTGATGAGTAATCATATGATAAAATTTTATGTTTTTACAGTTACTATTTCTCACTTTATGATGACATCATGCTATTTCATTTGAACTCTTGTTATACTATTTTGTTGTAAAAATATCAGGTTATTTAAAGTAAGATTTTTCTGATAACTGTCAATACATGGCATATATCTAAGAGGTTATAAAGGTTTAATTATTGCAGTTAAAGAGAATATACTTAAGCCTTAGCAGGATGGAAAGCTGTAGGGCATAACCAATTTTCTAAACCTTATAAAACATCTCAGAAAAGTAGATTTGTTATATTCTTATACAAGACCTGTTAATTGTCACTTGCTTATGACCTTAGATATTTTATTGCTACATGTTTATTTTATGTTTTTTGTGATCATACATTTTACTTGATGGTGTTATTGTCAGTGAAAGATTAAACATTATAACAGAAGTGCCTTATTTGTTATATGAATTGTAATGTTTGCCTAATTGGAAATGATATTCAGCCTTCAACATTGAGCAAAACATATCAGCTATAAAAGGTCTGCATGAAAAAACATAAAAACATTCAAATGGAAAAACTTTGACCATGTGTGTAAGACATATGCAAAACTATATACTGTAAATTCAGAAATAATTGCTTGCATTTATAAGTGCTATTTTGTCATTTCAGACTAAAATGCGATTTTATTTTTTGCGATATTTAGAAAAATCCTTTTTAATTCATATAAAAAATTTCAAGATGCAAGTTTAAATTATTGTGATTATAACCCTGTCACAATTTTCGTAATAACAAAAACATGGCAATAATTTCTGAATTTACAGTAGTTTAATTTTTATTACTCAATATGCACTTTGAGACATAGTGGTTAATTTTCGATTAAACATGCCGAGAAAAAATCGTAATTATATCACTTCCCATGGGAAAAATGATCGTTCCCATGCAAAAAATTATTGTTACCATGGGAAAAAATATTGTTCCCATGGGAAAAATATTTTCCCATGGGAACGATCATTTTTCCCATGGGAAGTGATATAATAATTAAAAAAACATAAAAAGAAATTCCTCTCATTGCATGAATGAAGCAATTTCACAAAACTGACTAAGTTATCATGGGTTAAATATTTTTGTATCTAAATTGTAGAAATACATAATTGTGTGTTATACGATTTTTTTCTCATTGGAACAAACAATTTACTTATGTTCCCATGGGAAATTGT